ACTAAACGTAAATGAAACGAACTAGGGGCAAAGTAGTCATTTCACACGCACGTTTTCAATATTTTCAGGACGGGATGTCACATTTGTCATGTTTGAAGACGAAACATTGTCTAAGGGTTTGTAAGAAAATGGAAAAGGGAAGGTTGCTGAGTAAAATGCAGGTGGTGGCTTAGGGCGAATCGTCGGAAAAAATGCCATGAAAAGCATCAAAAGAGATTGTAGGAACACCAGGTCAGAGGCCGAGTCGCTATTGAGGAGTCGGGTCTATTGGTTTCTTGGAAGCTAATTGGTCAGCTTCTATCCCCCTTTCTTCTGATTGGTTCCTTTTCAATAAAGTGGGACTTGCTATTTAGCAAGTCGCAAGTTACTATTTATATCAAATTTTCAATGTCCGTAACTTCTTCATTATAGCTCTAATTCATGAACGGCTTTCACCTACGTGCTCGTGGGATTGAGCTCTATTAAAAAATACTAAGAGTGATCCTAAAAGGCCTTCAGATTTAAAATGATTCATTACAAAAAGTCAAACTTGTAATTAAGTAATTAAAATTCTAAAATTAACGAAATTAAAATAAAACTAAGAATAGTGTAAATACGAAATATGTAATTAAATAATGGGATTTTGGGGACAGAATTTCACAGCTAAGTGTAGTCTGATCAGAATTGCTCAATTCCCACGCATGCATAAGGTCTAACAAAAGGATTCCAAAGGTGTTTCTGACCCTCATGCAGGCAACAAAGCTCCTAACGAACTTTCGTTTAAGATTCACTAGGGATGAATTAGCAATTCTTAATGAGAAGGAAATCCTTTCTTGGTTACAAGTTGCACTATTGAAATCTTCTCACCTAGAATGAGGGCAAGGTGAAAGAACAAACGAAATCAACAAACAAGACAACTCAAACATGTAAGATTGACATTAACAATTTGAAGGCCATTCCAAGTATGATTTGACACTTTCATCGTTAATCAGGTCAATGCATTACTGCAAGTCTGGGGCAAAAGGTTTTCCATGGGTTTAATATTTAATACCTGGTATTGAAGAAAATATGGTATTCCAAATATCACAATGGGAATCTTTATAAACACTAAATTTGGGAGGTAACGTTTTTTTCGAATCAGCAACACCGAGGGGGTTTTTGATGAACTCTGTCCCGAGCCTACAAGCTTACTCGTGTTTTACTATAGTACTCCTTACTTCGAAGTTAGCTTAATTTGGAAAGATTGACAGATTAAACTATATTTCGTGACGAGAAAGAAAAGGATGAAAAGTTCCCAGTATTTTACTCTAATAGGCTTAATGACTTGAGTAAAATGAACTTAGCAGTACATTCCTAAGGCATCTATGTTGACATGCCCGACCCCGATATCCTCCGTACACCAGGGTAAGCACGTGTTGGCAGACACCCAAAGGTGACGAAGCCGTATTAGGATGCATGAGAACAACGAATATAAATAAAAGTTATGAATTAAATACAATGAATATGCAACTTAGGAACTTGTTTAGAGTATACAACTAATCTAGACACTAAAAAGAAATAATATAAAATTGAATAAGCAAAGGAATGGGTCCTACATTGAGAGGAATCGAAGATGCTGATGCGGAAGTGCCTTGACGCTGGGATTGTACGCCTCGATTCTAAGTCCTGAGGACAAACATGAGTGAACCAAGTTGATATATATATATAATCCTGAAACAGTTATCAACATACTAACCCCAAAGTTTTATGAAACTCAATAGCATAATATGTAATAGGTTTTCCAAAAACCCTAGCATGCCATAAAACCTTCATAAAACATATATCGTATAGTGTGCTACGTAGTGGTATCATAGCGGCTCGTGGTACTATATCTCCCAGTCCGAAGCCAATAACTATATCTCCCGGCCCCAAGCCAATAAACAAGTATCTTTGCCCGTAGGCAGAACAGTGACCATTAGATAAGCACAAAAACATTGAACATACTCTTTCCAACATAAATACATATATCTCAAAAACATCTTCATAACATATAGTCATACATCATATATACTACAAAGAAGTTTAAAAACATGTTCATAAATAGTATATAGTCATCCATCATATATACTTCAAAGAACAAAAGTTTGATAAAGTATGGTATTCCAAAATATTCTTAGTAAAGCATGATAATCATATAATGTAAATCCAATTTCCTTATAAAACGTTTTATAAAACATAACCATTAAATCATGCTTTTCATGGCCCAAAGCCTGGGGTCATTTAGGTTTGGGCTAGGCTTTAAAGGGTTTTGGGTTTGGCTAAGTGGTCGGTGGGCCTTAGGTTCAAATGGCCCAAGGCCTGGGTTTAATAAGCCAAAGGTCCGTGTCATCTCAACCTGAAGGCCTAGGGTCCAAAGGGTTGTAAGGGTTTGGGTCTTGGGGTAAACAAGCCGAATGCCTTAGTTGGCACAGTCTAAGGGCCTAGGTTCACAGGGACTTAGGCTTAGGGTTAAGTGGGTTGGGTCGGGTTGACCCCTTTTTTTGTCGGCTGGTCTTGCCAAAGAAGAAAGCTAGAGCTTCCAAGCTCCAGTCAACCCATAACTTAGCAAAAATCAATCAACCCTTATACCAAAATGAAGTTACGAAGAAGAGGATTAGAACAATACCTATCACGGGACCAATCATGGCCAGAGTTGGCTAGAAAACGGCCTGCAACTTACAGGGTTCGTCGAAAAATATAGAGAATGCTTCCCCGAGTTGTTATTGCGTTCAAACGTTACCAAGGTTCTCAAAATCACCGTAAACCAACCTAAAACATGATCTAAAGGGATCCTAGGAGGCTTACCATAGTTGCACTGTCAAAAACTCGCCAGTGAGGTGCAAGCATAGTGACTGTGCTCCAGTGCGAGCTTGGAAGAAATGGAAAGTGATCGGGGGAGGGGTGAGGGAGAAAATGATGGTCCAAGGGGTGGTGGTTGTGTGTGAGCATGTAAGTATGGGTGTGTGTGTGTGGGAGTGCGTTAGAGAGGAACAGAAAGAGTCGACAGAGGTGGAGGGTGAGAGAGAGAAGAGAGAACCAAGAGAACTGAGGGAGAGAGATAGGATGGTGGGCTGGGAGAACAACCCAAAAGTACGTGGGGCCCTTTGGGCACACCTATTAAGGCATAAACCAATATTTCAAATAATTATCCTCCAACCAAAATGAAATTACAACTTTACCCCTTTCATTCCGTAAAAATTCGAGATAGGTTGTTACATATGTCCTTTTAGGAATATATAAGCACAATCCGCATTGCATCTAGCTTTTTAGGTATGCATCTAGAACTCCAACCAGGGGTTCATAATATAATTCGAAACTCCAAAAGATCAAACCATTGAAAGGCAAGGGAGGCGAACTAGCCGAACTTGGCTAGCTCTTAATTAAGCACACAACTTGAAGGCCATTCTAGAAAAGTTTTTCTAAAATGATCCACTCATGGTCTGTTGGTGACTACCCATCTTCGAAGTGGAGCGTACTCTTAGAAGTAGTTAGGGGCAATTGGGGACCATGATTAGTGGCAAGAAGGACCGAAATACCCAAAGCCCAAGGAGCATAGTCCAACAAGCTAAGCTTAGGGCTATTAAAGAGATTACTTGACTCCCAATTAAGAAAACCCTAATTCAAGTCAAACTAGGATATCTTAGACATTAGGCAACATAATCAAGATTCTAAGAGAACTGGGTATCTTATCATAGATTTCCTCCTAGATAGTCTCCCGATTTGATGAAGATTACCTTCCGTACAAAGACTTCCAAGATCCTTATAAATACATAAGCATAAGTATTTATAGGAGACATATTTATCCCTCTCTGAGACTTCTATATACATATTCTCTCTATACCTAACAGAGGCCCGTAGACATGTCCATGGAGAACTCATCTTCTTAACGCCCCGCCATAGGCTATTCGTCAAGGATGGTTCACACCATTCTTCCTTAGAACTACATCCGTGGTTTGGTTCTCTTTCCAAGAGATATGTAGGCAATCCTATTGGGAATTAACCACACCCTTAATTAACCATATTCTCCCCTCACCAAAGATTAGGGGCAATCCCGATGAGTTTGGCCTTCATCCGTGGATGTGAGCAGATTGGTTCCAACACTGAGCTTCGCGCCCAACAACACGCATTAAATCTATCTTCTCTAGTTGGTTCACCTAACCGTCACCTAGAAACCACCTCCCGAAAATGCAAAGTGTTGATCTATATGACCAAACACTGAGATGGCTTCACGAAATGAGAACTTTCACTCTGCAATACAAGCTATGCTAACAATAGGAAATTCGACAATCAAAGGTCGGGCCACTCAAAATAAAAAACAGCTCCCTCTCCGAGGGCATGGGAGTCCCCGACGACTCTTCTCACTCCATAAAAGGTGACATGGTCTTAGTAATTACATTATTGAGGCACTCCACGGGCATAGTTAGGGGCAATTGTGGGAACCCAGTTTGCATCTTCCTGGAGCAGTGAGTATTCGAACCCACTCTAGGGCTCCGACCTAGAATGAACTCAGCAACTAATCAATCTACTAGCTAAGGGTGCATCACCTTTGGTGGTTCCTAATACAATCTCACATGCCTACTTAGGACGAAGTGGGTATCAAAGGCACTTTGTGCCAGGTTCAGTCACACTCCCTTTTTTTGCCCCAGTTACCCCGTCGCATCCAGACTCTTTGACCTCTGCCACATGGAAGCTCGAGCAAAGCAAATCACATGGGCGACGTCACAGGTGATGCACATTAAGGCAGATGACGCTAACCTTAGGCAGCTGTGTCAGACAGCAGAGACCCTTAAGGTGACATAGTCAAGTGGCTGAGAGGTAAGCTCCCCCTTTCGCACAGTCCCTCCATGATACCACCAGTCCCCAAGATGGCTCCTTCATCATATATAAATAGCCATCCTGGCTCCTTCAACATAATCACATCTTAGTACTACGGTCTAGTAGTACTCCTCTTCACTTAAATGTGAGAGGTATTAAATTCGAATATGATAACACCATATGCCTAATTTTCTTTCAATCAAAATAATCATTATAGTAAAACCGTAGTGTTTCCATACTACAAATATTATGTATATTTGACCCAATCAATATTAGTTCACCAACTGAATAAAATGAACCACAATCACTTAACTGTGATTTCAATTTTCAATACTCTAATGAACGGAACAAGTAAAAAAATATAAATAAATAACTTCGCGAAAGGATTATCGATCTACATGCTAAAGAATTTTCAATTTTCCATGGGCAACTGAAGTCTTTGCATGCTCCAAGCTACACAACGCTTTTTGAGTTCCGCTCAACCCAGAACATGATGGACTGCCTCCTAATGTGACAGCAAAGTAGAGGTAAATGGTGCAGAGGAATGTCAGGAGTGCTAGGGCTGTTAAGAGGAAGCGGTGTCTCTGAAAGAGCGTCGACCAGCTACCCAACTCATTTTGTGAGAATTGCTTTCTAAATGATGCTGACTTCCGAACAGGAGAAGACAAAATGGTGTCAAGAACCATTGTATAATATGTACCAACCTTCTTCAGACAACCTGAAATTTGCACAAACGTGTGTTCAAGATGACAGCTAAATCAATTGCTACTACTAACAATACACTGAATTGACAATGGCCACAAAAGACGTCACACGCAGAGATCAAGGACAGTTAAACAAAGAGATCAAGAGGATATAGTTGAAGATACATGACCATACTAAAAGTATGACTGAGTTTAACAAATTTGTCTTTGGTTATAATCAACAGTTGCATTCTGACTGGATACCATGAAAAAATATGAAGAAGATAATCATACAATTTACAAGTGAAATTCTCCAGCCATTTTTCAGATGAGAAATATGCCAACGAGAAGCATTTCCAACAAATGCAATTAATACCCTCAAACAAGTGAGGGTGTGCGAGAATTATGCTGTACATGATACACTCCAATACTGTAAATACTTTACCTCTATTGAAGATGGACAGGTACAACTACTGAGAGTTCATTGAGAACCTAATGATAAAAATATTTCATGCTACCCTGGTTGTTACTGCAATATTCCAGAACTTGACACTTCATCTTTGACAACCCAAAGGCAGTGCAGAAGAAGAACCATTATGAAGCAAGCAATTCTGATAGCATTAAAATGAACTTGCAATACAAAGACAATGTGTGCTTTCATTCACCAGAGATACATCATGATTAACAACAGCTGACCTCAATTTAATAACAGAAAACAAATAATTCCACCTTGAAGTTTAGAATGCGCTTCATATCTCAAAAGACAACAACATAATGAGAGGCAGACATGAACAGATGACTTTACAATGAAATAATAAGCTCATGCATTAGCAAATAATAAATACCGGTTTTCCTTGAACAGGAAAAATGCACGAGAACCATGCCTCTTGAAAAGGAATTAGAAAGAAAGCTAACGTCTGTAGAAATGTCTTTGCATGCGTTTCAACCTATTGCAACGTGTAAGGAAACACAACACTTGCAAAACCATACTGACTTACATATCTACAAAAGGGAATCTTTGAAGGAGTATTGCATGTAGAAAATGACATAGGCTTGACATCAATCTAATTCATCAACTCAAGAATTACCAACAGCAGATCATGCCCCATTCCCAACAGCAGATCCCCATTCCCAACAGCAGATCATGCCCCAAAAACATGGATGTGTCAGCAGCATTACCAGTGATCTGAAGGGCATTAATCTAATTCACCAACTCAAGAATTGACCTCCCACCTAATTTTAATTATGTTATTATCTCCAAGGAGCTAAATCCAGATCCTTTTTCGCTTTCACGAAGCAATTACAACAACGCCTCAGACGGAAAAACCACTTGACATTTACAATCAAGAATCTCTAAATCAAACCCACAACCCCAAATCACGTCGTTCTCACAAAACCCACATCCATAAAAACTCTAATTAAAAGAAAAACAACCATCAATTTAAAAAGAGGAAAATAGAAAAAAGCAAACCAAAGAAAACCCAGGTAAGCAGGAGCTCAGATCCGAAGGAAATGAGAAGGAAAAGACGAGGCAGACTTACAGATGACTGGATCACAAATTTTCCTTTTCTTTTATTTTTGTTGTCGTTTCTGTTGGGTCTCCTGAGTCGTCGTCGTCGTCGACTTCTTCCTCTTATTGTGCCAAGGGATCAGAAGCGATGAGAGAGAGAGAGTGGCCGTCCCGTCCACCGTGTTTTGACCACACAAATAGATCAAACAATAAACAATAAACGACACGAACAGAAGGGGTTATAGCGCCTTTTCTCCGCGCTCAAGGGCCCTTTTTTTAAGAGCATTTCCCCTTTAAAAAAAATACGTTAACATTTAACCCATTTAATTTATTTAATTAACAGTGATAGACATCAATAAACAATAATAGATCAAATGTATCTCCATCTCTAAAAAAATAGTCTAGTCAATTTTATTAAAATATTATTATTTTTATTATAAAATAATAATTTTATTTTTAATTTCTGACAAGCAAGTAAACATTGAGCAACTATTTTGCTTTCTCATCTGCTTTCCATGGTTGCAACTGTTTCGCTCTCTTTCTCTTTAGATCCACGACAGTACCACCACCACCACTGCCATCTCTTCTCCCCCACCCACCATTTCAAACCCCACCAAAACCTTCCCCTCACTCCCTCTACCTCCTCAACTATTCTCCCCAAGTACCCACTTTCTACTTTCCCCATATCAGACTGTTTCGCCTTCAAATCACCGAGTCGTTCGCGGAGTGGATGCTTTTGCCTTTTGGGTATGTGTCTGTGCTGGGCTACTTGGTCAAGTAGTACTTGTTTGAAAGAATGGAGCTTCTTCCCAACACCGCCACACTCATCGCGTTTTACAAAGGAAGAAGAAGAAAAGAAGAGGACTAGGCTATTTTTTAATATTAGGATTTCATCTTGGTGACGTTATACGGGCCGGTCCATGGCTCTATCAATTTTGGGCTGGCCTGGAGACCAGCTTGGGCTGGGTGCCAGCCTATCTGCTGGGCTGGAGTGGAATGGCTGGGTGCCAGGCCAATAATTTGGTTGGGTGCTGGCCTATTTGTTCCTCGGTAGAACTACTCTTAATATCCTAGTCTAGACAAGCGCATAGCGCGCAGGCGTTAGTGCGTTTTCCTTCCTTTCATTGTTGTCGCTTTTGCTTAGGGTGGTACTATCACACGTCTTTTTTACCTCTTATATATTTTCTCATAATTTATGTTTATTAGTTTTCTTTAATTCATTCGGAAATTGAGAAAACTATGAAAGATGAGAACTAGTATATGGATAGCATTGAAGATTTTATCGTATGTAAAAATATGACACTCATCTGAAGAAGTGAAAATATCCACTCAAAAGTTGCTAGTACTCCCTTTTTCTTTATTATATGCAAAAACCCAAAAGGAGAATCAAACCTAGACCGTTATGATAGAGTAAAGATTTTTAACCAATTGGAACTACAAACTCTTTGTTATCTCATTTCCTTGAATAAATGAAAGATATATTGAGTTATATGGACATTTTTTCCATTATAAGCACAAACCGAACAGGGAAACTAAGCAAAGAACCTATTAGAGCACTTCCAGTGTAGGAGCCCTTCCCCCTGGCTATTCACTATTTAATCCACCTCATGAACAGTAATTACCATTAATAAACAGTAATCACCTTTTGTATCTCCACCGTTGCACTTGAATAGCCCTGGTAATTGGTAATAAAATATTAATATTTTATTTATTTATAAAATAATTTTATTTGCAATCCAATCCCAATTGGCAGCTCCTCTCTCGTCCCTCCCTCCCTCTGTCTCATTCACTTTCCCAAATCCAATCCCAATTCGTTTCTGAAAAATACAAAGAGGAGATTTTCTCTGCAAATTTGTGTGAGCTTTGAGAGGATGAAGGCTATGGAGGAAGTTGTGGAGGAAAAAGAAGTTAAGCCTTTGACCGCCGAGCAATTGGAGTTGTACGAGTCGCAGTCCGAGTCCGAGTCCGAGTCCAAATCCGGCGACAGCGTAGACGAAGAAGAGGAGGATGCCGACGAGGATGACGACGCGGATGAGGGCGAAGAGGACGACGATGACGAAGAAGAGGACGACGACGTCGAAGAAGAGGACGACGACGTCAACCCACATCAGACAGCCCTTGGGCGCTCAGGCTGGCAGGAATCCACCGGCCTGGAGCTCGGGCCTGCTCGGGCTCGCTCGCCAGCCAACGCTGGACTTCCTCCCTCTGGCAATCAGGCACTGTTCCGCAGCCTGTCCCTCGAGCAGTTGCTCCCGCTGGAGCTGCTCTTATGTAAAAACACATACTGTAATCACTTAAAGCTACCTGTCCTTTATTATATAATAGTATTGAAAATATTGAAAAACAGAAGATTTTTCTTTTAGATGCCAAATTCTAATATAATAATTATGTTGTATTACTTACTATGCACTTTTTGATAATTTTAATACAAAAGTAAGTGGGCCCGTTTAGGCACACCTATTAAGGCATAAACCAATATTTCAAACAATTATCCTCCAACCAAAATGAAATTACAACTTTGCCCCTTTCGTTCTGTAAAAATTCGGAACGGGTTGTTACATATGTCCTTCTAGGAATATATAGGCATAATCCGCCTTGCATCTAGCTTTTTAGCTATGTATCTAGAACTCCAACCAAGGGTTCACAATATAATTTGAAACTCCAAAAGATCAAACCATTGAAAGACAAGCGAGGAGAACTAGCTGAACTTGGCTAGCTCTTAATCAAGGACACAACTCGAAGCCCATTCTAGAATGATCCGCTCATGGTCTGTTGGTGACTGCCCATCTTCAAAGTGGAGCGTACTCTCAGAAGCAGTTAAGGGCAATTGGGGACCATGATTAGTGGCAAGAAGGAACGAAATACTCAAAGCCCAAGGAGCATAGTCCAGCAAGCTAGGCTTAGGGCTATTAAAAAGATTACTTGTCTCCTAATTAAGAAAACCCTAATTCAAGTCAAACTAGGATATCTTAGACATTAGGCAACATAATAAAGATTCTAAGAGAACTGGGTATCTTATCATATGTTTCCTCCTAGAAAGTCTCCCGATTTGATGAAGATTACCTTCCCTTCAAAGACTTCCAAGATCCTTATAAATACATAAGCATAGGTATTTATAGGAGACACATCTATCTCTCTCTAAGACTTCTATATACATATTCTCTCTATACCTAACAAAGGCCCGTAGACATGTCCATGGAGAACTCATATTCTTAATGCCCCGCCATAGGCTATTCCTCAAGGATGGTTCACACCATTCTTCTTTAGAACTACATCCGTGGTTTGGTTCTCCTTCCAAGAGATATGTAGGCAATCCTATTGGGAATTAACCACACCCTTAATTAACCTTATTCTCCCCTCACCAAAGATTAGGGGCAATCCCGATGAGTTTGGCCTTCATCCGCGGATGTGAGCGGATTGGTTCCAACACTGAGCTTCGCGCCCAACAACACGCATTAAATCTATCTTCTCTAGTTGGTTCACCTAACCGTCACCTAGAAACCACCTCCCGAAAATGCAAAGTGTTGATCTATATGACCAAACACTAAGATGGCTTCACGGAATGAGAACTTTCACTCTGCAATACAAGCTATGCTAACAATAGGAAATTCGACGATTAAAGGTCGGGCAACTCAAAATAAAAAACAGCCCCCTCTCCGATGGCATGGGAGTCCCCGACGACTCTTCTCACTCCATAAAAGGTGACATGGTCTTAGTAATTACATTATTGAGGCACTCCATGGGCATAGTTGGGGGCAATTGTGGGAACCCAGTTTGCATCTTCCTGGAGCAGTGAGTATTCAAACCCACTCTGGGGCTTCGACCTAGAATGAACTCAGCAACTAATCAATCTACTAGCCAAGGGTGCATCACCTTTGGTGGTTCCTAATACAATCTCACATGCCTACTTAGGACGAAGTGGGTATCAAAGGCACTTCGTGCCAGGTTCAGTCACACTCCTTTTTTTTTGCCCCAATTACCCCGTCGCATCCAGACTCTTTGACCTTTGCCACACAAAAGCTCGAGCAAAGCAAATCACATGGGCGACGTCACAGGTGATGCACATTAAGGCAGACGACGCTAACCTTAGGCAGCTGTGTCAGACAGCAGAGATCCTTAAGGTGACATAGTCAAGTGGCTGAGAGGTAAGCTCCCCCCTTTCACACAGTCCCTCCATGATACCACTGGTCCCCAAGATGGCTCCTTCATCATATATAAATAGCCATCCTAGCTCCTTCAACATAATCACATCTTAGTACTATGGTCTAGTAGTATTCCTCTTCACTTAAATGTGAGAGGTATTAAGTTCGAATATGATAACACCATATGCCTAATTTTTTTTCAATCAAAATAATCATTATAGTAAAACTGCAGTGTTTCCATACTACAAATATTATGTATATTTGACCCAATCAATATTAGTTCACCAACTGAATAAAATGAACCACAATCACTTAGCTGTGATTTCAATTTTCAATACTCTAATGAAAGGAACAAGCAAAAAAAAAAAAAAATAACTTGGCGAAAGGATTATCGATGTACATGCTAAAGAATTTTCAATTTTCCATGGGCAACTGACGTCTTTGCATGCTCCAAGCTACACAACGCTTTTTGAGTTCCGCTCAACCCAGAACATGATGGACTGCCTCCTAATGTGACAGCAAAGTAGAGGTAAATGGTGCAGAGGAATGTCAGGAGTGCTAGGGCTGTTAAGAGGAAGCGGTGTCTCTGAAAGAGCGTCGACCAGCTACCCAACTCATTTTGTGAGAATTGCTTTCTAAATGATGCTGACTTCCGAACAGGAGAAGACAAAATGGTGTCAAGAACCATTGTATAATATGTACTGACCTTCTTCAGACAACCTGAAATTTGCACAAACATATGTTCAAGATGACAGCTAAATCAATTGCTACTGCTAACAATAGACTGAGTTTAACTAAGAGATCAAGAGGATATAGTTGCAGATACATGACCATACTAAACAAAGAGATCAAGAGGATATAGTTGAAGATACATGACCATACTAAAAGTATGACCGAGTTTAACAAATTTGTCTTTGGTTATAATCAACAACAGTTGCATTCTGACTGGATACCATGAAAAGATATGAAGAAGATAATCATACAATTTACAAGTGAAATTCTCCGGCCATTTTTCAGATGAGAAATATGCCAACGAGAAGCATTTCCAACAAATGCAATTAATACCCTCAAACAAGTGAGGGTGTGAAAGAATTATGCTGTACATGATACTCTCCCATACTGTAAATACTTTACCTCTATTGAAGATGGACAGGTACAACTACTGAGAGTTCATTGAGAACCTAATGATAAAAATATTTCATACAACCCTGGTTGTTACTGCAATATTCCAGAACTTGACACTTCATCTTTGACAACCCAAAGGCAGTGCAGAAGATTCACCATTATGAAGCAAGCAATTCTGATAGCATTAAGATGAACTTGCAATACAAAGACAATGTGTGCTTTCATTCACCAGAGATACATCATGATTAACAACAGCTGACCTCAATTTAATAACAGAAAACAAATAATTCCACCTTGAAGTTTAGAATGCGCTTCATATCTCAAAAGACAACAACATAATGAGAGGCAGACATGAACAGATGACTTTACAATGAAATAATAAGCTCATGCATTAGCAAATAATAAATACCGGTTTTCCTTGAACAGGAAAAATGCACGAGAACCATGCCTCTTGAAAAGGAATTAGAAAGAAAGCTAACGTCTGTAGAAATGTCTTTGCATGCGTTTCAACCTATTGCGACGTGTAAGGAAACACAACACTTGCAAAACCATACTGATTTGCATATCTACAAACGGGAATCTTTGAAGGAGTATTGCATGTAGAAAATGACATAGGCTTGACATCAATCTAATTCATCAACTCAAGAATTACCAACAGCAGATCATGCCCCAAAAACATGGATGTGGCAGCAGCATTACCAGTGATCTGAAGGGCATTAATCTAATTCACCAACTCAAGAATTGACCTCCCACCTAATGTTAATTATGTTATTATCTCCAAGGAGCTAAATCCAGATCCTTTTTCGCTTTCACGATGCAATTACAACAACGCCTCAGACGGAAAAACCACTCGACATTTACAATCAAGAATCTCTAAATCAAACCCACAACCCCAAATCACGTCGTTCTCACAAAACCCACATCCATAAAAACTCTAATTGAAAGAAAAACAACCATCAATTTAAAAAGCAAACCAAAGAAAACCCAGGTAAGCAGGAGCTCAGATCCGAAGGAAATGAGAAGGAAAAGACGAGGCAGACTTACAGATGATTGGATCACAAATTTTCTTTTTCTTTTTTTGTTGCCGTTTCTGTTGGGTCTCCTGAGTCGTCGTCGTCGTCGACTTCTCCCTTTTATTGTGCCAAGGGATCAGAAGCGATGAGCGACTGAGCGAGACAGAGCGAGAGAGAGAGAGAAAGGGGCCGTCTCGTCCACGGTGTTTTGACCACACAAATAGATCAAACAATAAACAATAAACGACACAAACAGAATGTGTTTTAGCGCCTTTTCTCCGCGCTCAAGGGCCGTTTTAGAGCATTTCCATCCCTAAAAAAATACCCTAACATTCAGCCCATTTAATCTATTCATTAAATAGTGATAAACTTCAATGAACAGTAATAGATCAAATGCATCTTCATCATTAAAAAAATAGCCTAGTCAATTTTATTAAAATATTATTATTTTTATTATAAAATAATAACAAAAATAATTTTATTTTTAATTTATGACGAGCAAGTAAACGTTAAGCAACTATTTTGCTTTCTCATCTACTTTCCATGGCTGCAACTGTTGCGATCTCTTTCTCTTTAGATCCACAACAGTACCACCACCACCACTGCCATCTCTTTTCCCCCACCCACCACTTCAAATACCACCAAAACCGTCCCCTCACTCCTTTTACCTCCTCAACTATTCTCCCCAAGTACCCACTTTCTACTTTCCCCAAATCAGACTGTTTCGCCTTCAAAGCCTTCGTCGAGTCGTTCGCGGAGTGGATGCTTTTGCTTTCTAGGTATGTGTCTGTGCTGGGCTACTTGGTCAAGCAGTACTTGTTTGAAAGAATGGAGCTTCTTCCCAACACCGCCACACTCATCGCGTTTTACAGACGAAGAAGAAAAGAAGAGGACTAGGACATTTTTTAATATTAGGATTTCGGCTTGGTGACATCATACGGGCCGGTTCATGGCTCTATCGATTTTAGGCTGGCCTGGAGACCAGCTTGGGCTAGGTGCCAGCCTATCTACTGGGCTGGAGTGGAATGGTTGGGTACTGGGCCAATAATTTGGTTGGGTGCTGGCCTATTTGTTCCTCGGTAGAACTGCTCTTAATATCCTAGTCTAGATAGGTGCATAGCGCACATGCGTTAGTGCGTTTTCCTTCCTTTCATTGCTGTCGCTTTTGCTTAGGGTGGTACTATCACACGTCTTTTTTACCTCTTATATATTTTCTCATAATTTATGTTTATTAGTTTTCTTTAATTCATTTGAAAATTGAGAAAAATATGAAAGATAAAAACTAGTATATGGATAGCATTGAAGATTTTATTGTATGTAAAAATATGACACTCATCTGAAGAAGTGAAAAGATCCACTCAAAAGTTGCTAGTACTCCCTTTTTCTTTATTATATGCAAAAACCCAAAAGCAGAATCAAACCTAGACCGTTATGATAGAGTAAAGATTTTTAACCAATTGGAACTACAAACTCTTTGTTATCTCATTTCCTTGAATAAATGAAAGATATATTGAGTTATATGGACATTTTTTCCATTATAAGCACGAACCGAACAGGGAAACTAAGCAAAGAACCTATTATGTAAAAACACATACTGTAATCACTTAAAACTACCTGTCCTTTATTATATAATAGTATTGAAAATATTGAAAAAACAGAAGATTTTTTCTTTTTGATGCCAAATTCTAATATAATAATTATGTCGTATTACTTACTATGTACTTTTTGATAATTTTAATCCAAAATATTGTAAATATATCGTTTTATAAAAAAAAAAATTATAAAATTATTTGGAAGCACAAGTAATAGATTTTGCCATCGTGCATAGGACTTTTGTCTTCATTACAATGCCGTTATCCATTGTGTATGGTACTTTTTGATAATTTTAAACTCTACACTTCTTACAACTTATGGTGGTATTAATTTTCATTTGTAAGTAAGACGTCTTAAGTTCAAATCTTGTGGATGACAAATTTGATATCAAATTAGGTTATCCATTGTATGGTTTAACCAAACTCTCCCACTCTTTAGTAAAAACTAGAAAGTGTGACCCGCGAGTTGCTGCGGAAAGTGCGACCTGCGTGTTGCTGCGGGATTGAAAATTTTATGACATATTATGGTAAAAACATATAAAAGATAATGCATCCAATGATAGTGGACCCAATAATCATGTAAATGTCATCAAACCAAAGTAAACTTTCATTTAACTAAGTTCTTAGGACTTCAGTTAAATCTCAAGTTTTAAAAAGTAGTTCAATTTGACTAAAATTATATAGAGTGAGGGAAAAAGACAGAACAAACAGTTGGGGAATGGTGTACATTGACACTAATCTGCAAGTCAAATATGAAAAATGTTAAGAATGTAGAAGCTTAAATTATCCCTAGCATCAGTAGATTAACAATGAAGAAACAAAATATGGTTTAAAAGCATTAATCAGTATAACAATGAAAAATTCATACTGAAATCTCTCCTTGCGACATTACCTTATATGTGTTCATTTCCAATTTTTCATCAGACGCGTTCTCATCCTCTAGTTGTTGAGTTTAATTTTTCTTTTGACTCACTATGTAGATGGGCTCAACCTCCTTTTGTTTTTCCTAGATTTTTTTCACTGAAATACAAACTTGTGTAAGTGTTTGAAAACCTATATTGGTTATGGATGTTAACAAACTAATAGAAAACTTGTTACATAATTTACATACCTATAGCATTAGAACAGATGAGAAACAGTGGGTATAATCAATAGTACTTGTCATCAACATCAACTTATCATCCAAAGCGGCATTTAATTTCTTTTATTCTTCATCATCTATGATATATATGAATAATAAATCTCAAAAGAATGAAAAAAAACAAAGCAAACAAACAAAATATGGTCGACATTGCTTTATTATTTTGTATCAATATGGCATGAAAACTTGGTTGATTCATTTATGAACTAAATTAAAAACAAACTTAAACATTAATTTAGTGATGAGAGGTTGATTATTCGATGATAAACTACATATGCATTCAGCTGTCTATTTAAGGTGAGCAATTTCAAGATTTTATACCTCAAGCATCTGGAACCGTACATACAAAAGCGGCAAAAAACGATGGCCATTGCTTCTTGAAAATAAAGAACCAAATCATATACTTAGGGATGGGCAACGGTTATGGCGGACGGGTAACCGCAGTTATTTATTTATAACCGTTTATACTCATACTCGCATAACCGTTTACCCATTAGATAATTGCCTAAACGGTTATACTCATACCCATAACCGTTTATAAACGGTTAACCATACCTATAACCTCTAACTACCTGCGGTTATGAGTAACCGCACAACCCCAAAATTAATTATCACCAATTTTTTTTTTTTTTTTTTACAGAAAATAGATCCACAAACTCAACACGACAAAAAAAATTTTAAATTTTGTTCAACAAAAGATTTAAGAGGATGACCATAAATTATATACCTTAATCAGAAAGGGCTTGCACAAAAACCCTAAAATTCAAACGGCAACATTTCCTGAAATAAAATAAAAAAATAAAAAAGTATATCATTTTACTAAAAAAATAAAATAAAATAAAAATTGGCTATCCTTGTTACAACTTAATAGATGGTTGTTATGGCCGGCAATGACATGCCCTTCTTCTCATACCTTTATCAGTGGCGAGGATGCTGTCAATTTGTCATCAACCAATTGGATTATAAAAGTTCTTTTCTTATACTTGTAGACGACGAAAGCTACTCAACTTTAGGATAAATTTTAAAGTGGATTCCCAACTTTGATGCTTCAACAACGTTTGTTAATCTGGCCTTTAGCTTGTACCATTACGTGACATAGGTGCAGTTTGGGATTGAGGTGATTAAAAAAAAAGCTGATATGAAAAAAAGCTAGAAAGATTTTTGGTGTTTGGTAAACTTTGAAAAACAGCTTTATTTCAAAGTTGGGGATGAAAAAAAGCCTAAAACCTGAAGGTGATCAGAAGCTGCAAATAGCAGCTTCCAAAAACAGCTTATTTTCAAAAACACGGGTGAACAGTGTGCGTTTAATGAAATTTTCAATAACCCAAAATTGCCCTCCTTCAGCTCTCGCCTTCAACGCTCTCGCATACCTGAACCAGGAAAACACTCTCTCGTTCTCTCGTTCTCCAGGTTTCTCCAGTTCTCTCATTCTCCAGGTTTCTCCAGGTTCATTTGGTAAGCTTCTCTTGTAAAAATTTGTTATTTATTTGTTTGGATTTTTCAATTTGGGGATGGGAGATTGAGAGGGAAAGAGGGGTGGGAAGAGCAAAGGGATGAGGGTATGGGTGTCGGGAAAAACAATTGGGGATGGAGGGTGAGGAAAAAATTAATTGGGGAAGGTGATATGGTTTGTGGAAAAAACGAGTCGATCCGGGAAAAATTCTCTTGGAAAAAATTCATGTCCACGGCGACATGAAGCAAGTCCCGTCGGAGGTGATCGAGTCGATCCGGAAAAACAAGGTGTGCTTGAAGGGCGGGCTGAAGACTCCGATGGGCGGCGGCGTGAGCTCGCTCAACGTGCAGCTGAGAAAAGAGCTCGACCTGTACGCTTCGCTAGTAAACTGCTTCAACCTACCCAGCCTCCCCACCCGCCACGAGAACGTGGACATTGTCGAGAGAACACCGAGGGCAAATACGCCGGGCTCGAGCACGAGGTCGTCCCTGGCGTCGTTGAGAGCCTCAAGGTAATCAAAAACCCAAAATTCAATCTTTAGTTCTGCAATTTTGTGAAAATTGGGAATTGATTGTGAATGTGTTAAGTGATCACCAAGTTCTGCTCGGAGCAAATTGCCAAGTACGCTTTCGAGTATGCCTATTTGAACAACAGGAAGAAGGTGACTGCTGTGCACAAAGCCAACATTATGAAGCTAGCTGATGGGTTGTTCTTGGAGTCCTGCAGAGAGGTTGCTACAAAGTACCCAAGTATTAATTACAATGAAATCATTGTGGACAATTGCTGTATGCAAATTATTTCGTAGCCCGAGCAATTTGATGTGATGGTAATGCACTTCAGCTGAGAATTCTGTTTTGTGAATATGGTTTTTATATGTGGAGTGTGGATCTGTTCGTGGCATGGTTAAAGTTTTATTTTTAGTTAATGCATTGGAATAGACTTGCTGCCTAGATGGGGCGGCTGCCAAGTAATTTAATTTTCATCTCACCCTGTTCTATTTACCTTTTAGGCTTTAGCAAAGACATCTTGAACTTGGGTTGATTTGATTTTAAGCAAAGTTCAGGTTTCTTGGAATGATGATCTGGGACTAGTTTCTTGGAATGATGATCTGGGACTAGGAATTATTGGAAATACTTGGTTGACTGGATTGTGATGAATTTGCAATTATTGGTATTCGCCTTTAAATATACTTTGGCTGTTGAAATGATGCCAATGTGAAAAGTTTCGAGCTTTGGAGTTTCTGTGATTTGAATTGTGAATTTGTGAGATGTATCTATGATTTGAATTGTGAAAACCATTTCTAATGTTTGGTTAAGAAGTGGTTCTATTCGTATCTTCTTATATGCTTCAGATCGGGTTTGACCGGTAATACAAAGGCTGGATATAAGATGAAATATTAGGTGCTTGTGACATGTTAGAATCGTCTGTTAAGAATCTTGCAAAGGCTCATACGCCAACTGATGATGCAAATTAGACATTCTCTTTTACTATTAGTTTTGGTTTGAAGAAATTATGTATTTTAAGTGGAGAATTACTTCATAGCTTGGGCTTGTCAACCTTATTGGTGCCTAAAAAGTCAAGACTAGCCAGCATTGAGCTACACTTTGGTATTGTGCTATTGTGATGACCTATGAAGAAGTAAAAGAGTAAATGGAAAAGAGTTTGAGAGTTGAAAACCTGTGAGTAACATCAAAACATTGACTGAGTTTTTCGAGTCTGATGTCTATGTGGAGTTGATGTGGTAGGTCGAGAAGTAAGCATAGAAAGATAGTAATCTGGGACTCGGTATTGAATCTAGGACTTGGTATTTGCCCTTGTAATCTGGGTTCCAAATGGGAAGTATCCTTTCCACAAAATGGTAAGACTGTTCATGTGGCACTTCCCAGACCCCACACTAGCAAAAGGCTCTGTTTATTAGATCATCTTGCATTTGAGAAAACGTATTGATCTGGGCCCAACCCTCAGCTTCGGATGCTTTATGCTTACTCTTCATTTCAGCCAAAAGACCTATCTATGTTGTTGAGCTAAAAATGAGTTGTCTATTGAAATTTAAAGTGGATGTTTTCAACAAGTTGAAGGATCACATGAGATAGAGGCATTAAGAAATAGAATAGCAACAAGTTTGATGAATGCATCTAATCAGACTACTTTCAAGTACATTAACAATATTCTACTAATGAATCCTAGCTATTGAGTTTAAAATATTTCAATTGAAGTAATTTGTCATACTAATTAATATTTAAGATAAAGTTTATAAATATTTTTCTTCTAAAAATAAAATATATTTAGTAATTCACTTTTATTTGTTAAGAAAATAAAATTAATACCCTTTTTGGTCATTTCACACAGTCACAGCTGTTTTACATAAAAGTTTACCAAACACTATCATACTACTTTTTTTTTCCAAAAGCACTTTTACAAAAAAGTTTACCAAACACTTTGCTGCTTTATTTCACAGCCGCTTATTCTCACAGCAGCTTTTTTTCAAAGCACAGCAATACCAAACCAGCCCATAGTTGGGTATCCAAATAAATGAGGAGGTATCTAGAGATTGTTTTAGATATAAATTAGACCCGACAACAAATTATTTTCCATCATATTTGTATCGTGTGGACTAAAAACCTGTCTTTTTAACAGGCCAACCGTGAAGCTAACTAGTGGAAAATCCCAACTTGAAGTCTTGGACTCCCATCACTTGTTTATAAGTGACTTATTAGCCAAAAAAAAGTGGACTTGGAAACACTTTTAAATTCAGGTGTGGAGTTACATAACAAAATGCATTGATATCTTGTATGTCGTAAGGGCTGTGTGAATGTCTACATATTTTGACTAAAGATGAAATTTAAGAAAGATAAAAAACAGTGGTATAGATGTATTGTCAAATTTTATTACTGTTTTAAGGCATGACTTTCAACATGCATTAACTTCTTTTGTAGACTTTTGTACATAAATGGCTCTATAGAAAGAGCATGCAATGTATAGAAAGTGAAAATACCAATCTCCCTCCCATCTCTTCACCTGCATTTATTGTCTAATACAGTTAAGAAAATGAACAGTGTGACACATTGCTCCCGTTCCACTTCGATCTCTAGCAAATGTCTTCTCTCTCATTTTCCCCTATTTATAACATTGTGACCATTCATTAAATTGTTTTGTAACCTTTTAATGTGATTTTTGTATTCTTCAACACACACCTTTACAACGTCAGACTGCCACAAATTAGGTCATTAAGTGTAGCCAATTCTACGTGATTCAAGCAAATTCCGGAGCAACGCAAGATAATTGTAACATAAACGTCCTTTCATTGTTTTTTTTTTTAATGATTGAAACTCTGTGTAAGTTAAGTATCACACTTGCAGTTTATTTAGAGACCAAAAGGAGACTAAGTCTTCACACTTATAATTTTCTTTAGAAAACAAAAGAAGATAGGGGAACATAATTTCAATTTCCGTCTTAAAAAAAAGTTAAACAGAAGATAGCCAAGTTAACACAGAGAAGGAAAGTGAACATAAGTCTCCAAAAATATTCTTTCATACCAAACAAACTTTTTGAACAAACGATAGTATCTACATTAAGGGAGAGGGGAGTAGACTTAGCCTCACAATCGGCTAGCAATAATATGGTTTAAATTCGTTTTTTATGAGAATTGAACCTAATATATATAAAAAATAGTTCAAAATGTCTGAGTCAAAAAATACAAGTTACTCGTATATTTACGAGCTAAAGATATCAATATTAAAGATTGATAATTTAGACTTCTTCTTCACACGCGCGTGCGCACACACACACGCGCTAAGATATTGGAAAAATAAAATAGTTGTGAACTCGTCACTTCCGAGATTCAGACTTAAAATCTTTCTTACTTATAATTAGGAGAAATATAAGTGCAGTATGATAGTTGAAGTTAGAGTTGTTGACTTGTATTAGGATTCCTATAATTGTGGGATTCCTACTACAATTGGTTTCCTAGTTTAGGATGTAATTATTCTTTCCCTTATTCTTTCCCATATTTATTCTTTCCCATATCTGTATAGGGTTGTATATATACCTTGTTTTGATATGAAATAAAAATATTCATTGAAAAGCATTCTTTCTTCTTGGTATCAGAGCCGGGTTAGAAAAACACTGAACCCTAATAATTTTATTTTATTTTTTTCTGCCGTGTACCTGATCCATTGCAGCGAGCAACCTTAGGATTATTGCTGCCCGTGCCCTGACCGATTGCAGCGAGCACCAGATAGGGTGTTGCTACCCTGTTGATTTGTCCAACGTGTTCTAGGTCTCATCACCGCTGTTGTTTTTCCTTCTCTGCCTAGTTTGTGTCAGTCAACACCGAAGCAACAGAGAGATGGCTGAAGAAAAAGGGGCTGGTTCATAGATTGTTTCAGCAGCTGCTCCAATTATGGTGCAGTCAGAGAATTCAAGCTTTAATATTGGTATGGTTTTGGATGAAAAGAACTATGATTTATGGGCTCCTCTCATTCAAATTCATATTGCTGGAAGGAAGAAGATGGGATATCTTCGTGGGTCTATCAAGGCACCTAGTGAAGACGATCCTAAATATGATGATTGGTTTTCTGAAGATCAAAAACTTAAGAGTTGGCTTTTGTCTTCAATGAAGCCCGAGATTATGAAACTGTACATTCGGTTGTCTACATTGAAGGAGATTTGGGACTCCTTGAAGGCAGCCTACTTTGATGAGAATGACGAGGCTAGAATTTATTTGTTGAATCAGAAGGCATCCCGTCTGCGTCAGAATGGCCGACCCTTAGCTACCTATTTTGGGGAGCTCACTGAGATCTTCCAAGAATTGGATCACTTTAATAAAGTATCCATGGAGTGTGAGAATGACATCAAAGTGTTTCAGAAATCCACTGAGAGACAACGGGTCTATGTGTTTCTTGGTGGTCTCGATGATGGGTTTGATCAGGTGCGTGGAGAAGTGCTGCGGAAGGATCCCCCACTTGGCATGCAGGCTTCTTATGCCTATGTTCGTCAAGAAGCCGATCGAAAAGAAGCAATGAAGACAGAGGTTGACAAGGGGGAGTTTGCTGCCATGGCAACAAGGGCCCGTGGATCATCTAGTGGGATCGTCCACAAGGTAAGTGCCCACACTGTGGCCTGACGGGACACTCCAAGAGTCGTTGTTTTGAGCTGATTGGATATCCCGAGAATTGGGATAAGACCCGTGATCCTCGGTGCAATAAATCTCGAGCCTCTATTGCCGAAACAAAGAATGATTCGGATCAGACAGCGAACAAGGCATCTGCCATGATAGCTGCGGCAGGAAGTGATGGTAAGGCACTTAGTACTTCTACTTCTGTTATGAATAATACATGGATAATTGATTCCGGAGCTACTGAACATATGACTTGTGATTCTAGACAGGTTCCATCACTAAAAACATCCACACAAACCGAGGTCAATGTTGCTATTGGTAATGCCGTCCCTGTTATTGGGGAAGGCGCTGTTTCCCTTTCCGATACCATGAAACTTGACACTGTTCTTGTGGTTCCCTCTCTAAATTATAATTTGTTGTCCGTTGCTCAAATAACCCTTGCCTTACATTGTTTGGTTATTTTTTGGCCCTATTTTTGTGTTTTTAAGGACATTCGGACGCGGAAGACGATTGGTTATGGTATTAGAAGAGGGAAACTTTATTACTTGGAATTGATCACCAGTAGTTCTAGCTTGCTGACTCAAGCTCTCTCCGTCGATGATTCTCAAGGGATTACTAATAAAGTGTCAGACATCTGGATGTGGCACCAGCGCCTTGGGCATGCTTCCTTTGGTTATCTGCATAAGTTATTTCCTAGTTTGTTTGTCAAGAATGATGTTTCTCAGTTTAAGTGTGGTGTTTGTGAAATGGCTAAGAGCCATCGAACCTCTTTTCCTCCCAGTTTAAATAAAAGTACCGTTCTTTTTATGATTGTGCATTCTGATGTATGGGGATCGTCAAAAGTAGCCACTCTTGGTGGTG